TCCACCCTGGGGGGAAGCCTTGACCGGCTTTGGAGCAGGATGCCGCGGTGGAAGCTGCGGTTGGTTGATAGGCAATTGGGGGAACTACTGTTGATAGTGATATTGAGAGAGGTGGTGCAGTACTTGGTGCTGCTGGAGCTGATGCTATTGGAACTGCTGCATTTGGGCTTGCATTGCCCGCATGCACTGCATCAGGTCGTCAAACTGTCTCTGGCTAGTCGCCAGGGGGATAGCAGTTGGTTCAGTAAAGGTTGTTTCGATAGGGAGTGGAAAGGGGACATTCATGGCGGGAAGGTTTACGGGCACCACTACTCATGGCGCATTCAGGCTGGGGATCCCATCTACCGGAAGGGGGATGGTTAACTGCCCAATGCACACCACAGAGACTTGAAGTTGTTCCCCGGTGGTGTTCATCTTCGTGACATGTCCGGCGTTGCTGGAAGAAGCCATGAGTGTTGGGTTTTTTTTTTGGAGAAAAAAGAGGTTATGAGAGTTTTAGAGGGAGGCTTTTGGAAGCATTCCCACAGACGGCGCCAATTGATGGTGCGCAACCCGGCCGGTCCTAGCTGTCAACGACCTTGCCTTTGACTAGAGCAACAGGGGGCCTGAAACGGAGAAGAAAGTGGGGAATCTCCGGGGAGGAACCCGGTGAGATTGCTCTGAAGCTCAAGTTAGTATTCTCTCAAAGGCAAGGTAAAACCAGATGGCGCAAAATTCACATACCTTGTTCTTGGGGGGTAAGGAGCCTTTTATAACCACCTCGCGCACTCACTCCTAAGCTTCTGTCAGGTCAGGTATGATTATCTCTGCGCTCCTGCCAGTTCGGGTGTCATCACCTCTGATGGGATAGAACCGCCACTGCTCTCTTTGTCGGAGCCGTCTCTGCAACTGGAGATGGCGATGGCAGGTGGCAGGTGGCCGTTGAAGTGCGGCTATCAAGCGTCAGATCCCAAGTCAGTCAGGTGTGCCGCCCCTGGGTACGAACTTCCTCAGTGTAAGGCGTGGTACGGTTGTTCAGTTTGGCGTCTTAGAGGCGAAGTGCTGGAGTGGTGGGCGAGGTGAAGTCTTGAGTTCGGATAGAGGTGTGTCCCGAACTGCCATGGGGCAGGCCAGTTCGGGTTGTTGCCCTTTGTGTTTATAAGTTTCGGGGCCTAAGGGAGAGCTCGGGCTCCTTGCGGGGAGTTCGGGCTCCTTGTAGGGAGTTCGGACCGCTGGTTCCTCCTTTCGGAGCTCGCACCTTGGGCGTGCTGTTGTGCCGAGCTGTTGCCTTTGACACGTGTTGAGTGATTATGAGGTCGGGCAAAATCTTCTTTCATCAAGAACCAAAGATTATACTTTCCCTGTCATCAAGTTCATTCTATCAAAATTGGTTTGAACAAGGGATTCTTCGGCTTTTTTTATCAGTAGTTTTGTACTCTGTAAGCTTATGATTCATATACTTTGTCCTGTTTTGAAGCTTGCGCAATTTGATTTTGGAGATTTGATATTGACCATCTTTTGTGTGGTGCACTAGCCTTCAATTTGTTTTTCCCCTTTTTTATCAGCAACACTAATTCATACTTTTTAGTTATGACTAAGAGCTTCTTGTGAAACATTCAAGTCAAAACTACAAGGTATTGGCAAACTTTAAGCAGAATTTTCAGAGAGGGGCAAAGCGGTGGTGGGACGGTTTCATTTTCGTTGGCAGCAAGGAACAGAAAACAGAGGAAGAAGAAGAAAGGGGAGGAGAGAAAGGGGAAAGGGAAGAAGGGGAAGAAGAGACATAGGGGGAGAGAGAGGGAGAGAGGGAGGACTTTGGAAGTATGCCGCCATTACTGTTTATGTATCGTGGGGTCAGGGAAGATGAACAATGTTTTTCTTTGAATAATTATTATGAGGATAATATGGGGATTAAAAAATATTATAATGATGGATTTCAACAGAAGGCTAACAGAAGGAAACCTTTGTCTCACGGTCATAGTACAAGGGGTCTTTGTCACAAAACAAAGTATAGGGGGTCTTTTTCTCAGATCTCATAGTGCCAGGTGGTCTTTGTAATTTAGTAACAATCCCTATTTTTTTTCAAGTAGGTTGTATAATTTGGCCAATTTCTCTCTATAGCTAAAAACTTTACCCAACTTGTAATTAAGTAGGTAAACCTTTTCCGGATAGGTTGTTAAAAATTTATTAGGAAAAGTTTTGTTTTCATCTTCTCTATAATTCTATTCGGTGTGAGATGAGAAAACTTTATGACGCAGGAAAGACATAGTATTAGAAGAATTTTGATCAATCAAAACCCATTTTGATAAATAAAGCTTGGCTATCACATTTATGATTCCAATTGATTGATTAAACGTTTTTCATTTATCATATATTTTTCATATCATAATCAACCCGTGTGTGATGTATCCTATAACGGGAGAAAGACGGTTCAGAAGAGGATTAAAATTCTTAGGCTCCAAAGTATGGTTGGAGTAGTCAGTTCATCAATTTACGGGTGAGCATAGATATATAAAATATGGTTATTTGACATTTTGAATTTTTATAGATATAGAATAGAATTTAGAATTCTACAATAAGCCTGTCAGTATTTTTTCTTAACGTGTACGTGTTTTACGCAAATGTAATGACATTTGTCGCATGCCCATTGCAAGACAAAATGCAAAAGATCCCTAGTTCGCTAAATACATTGTTCCGTGTGACCAAAAAAAAAATTAAATATGTAATTGATTTCTTTTTTCATTTATTTATGCCATCGTAAGAATATGAATTTTACCAATTTTTTTTTTCTAAAAATGGGCTAATTTGAGTAACAGGAAAACCCAAATTCATGGAGAACACCGGACGGGTAAAAATGTCACTTAAAATGTTTGCCCTCGGCAATGGCGCCCCTGAAGACTTTCTTCAAACAGTGCAACCTGTCATTAATTCTCTATTTTGAGAAATGTAATCGCCTCTCTCTCTCTCATACCGTACGTTGCCTTCAAAACAAACATCAGAGAAATGAATACACGGGATACAGCTGAACTTCCTTAATTTGCCTTCTTTCACAAATTAGAACAAACACAGCCATAAAGAGCAAAGAATCCTGAGGCTGCTGGTCCTGGGTAGCCCAGAATGCGATATTCAACAAATGATGCGATATCATGAGTTGCAGTCAGCTGAAATTAATAATGCAGGAGAAGCAGATGAGAAGTGACAAGTCTTGGATTACTTTCGGAGATGAGCAATGAGCTGGTTGTTTGGATGGGTGCACGCACATGCACCAGCACCACCCCTTTCATAATTCATGTGACTTGTTCCTTTCATCTATGGTCGGTGAGATGAGAATGTGGTGGCAGCTTAACTTATCAACATTAATTCAGTATTATGATATGAATACTCCATGACCATGAGACTGTACCAATGCAGCAGATGAGGTGATGGCTTGGATGGTTTCACCACCGATCCATGGATTATTCCTTTCAGATTGGTGGACTTAATTAGTGGTATTGACTTTTACAGCAAAACAACTACCAGTTCTCTCTCTAGATCATGCAGATTCAGGGTTTTTTTGTTTCTTCTCGACCTCTGCCTTTGATATCTTTCTACTGAACCGAGATTTGGGCCAAAACACGGATGTGATACTTGGCAATATCCTGTACTTTACCCTCTTATCCTTCCTACTTCCTTGACGTGTGTCTATTCCTTACTTTGCCTCCATGTGAATGTGTGTATCTGTGCATCAACCATGCAGCCACATAGTTCTCTTCTTCTACCCTATACGCCACCTTCCTATTTCACACCGATGCAAAATCTACTTATAGACGGCAGGGATCTCATCAGTCACCACAATAAGTTGCATTGCATCCAATTAATTTGTTTTCCTATTTCAAGGAAAAGTTTGCTCTTCATCAGTACAATCCTTTGCACGGTAATATTGTATCGGACTACCAGATTTGTTTGTGTATTTGGATTGATGTGTGTCTAGTATCAAACTAGTGGGGTGTCAATATATGTTGGTTTGCTAGAGATTTGTGACATATTATCTAGGAGCTCATCATCAGAAGGTTCCTTATTTGTCGATGGTTGATGGTTTTCCTTTTCCTCAGGGCTCTCATACATACCATAATAGACGACATCGAGGTTCTTTTCATTATCTTTTATATCTGTTAAAAAAGTAAATTTTGGAGTCTAGTTACAACAGGAATTCAACATGACAGTTTATCTGGTTGTTCACATGATCAGGGTGGATGGAGGATTTGATTTTGGACTGTTTGGGTTGTTCACATGTATGGATGAATCTCTTGGGTAAGTTTTAATTTATTAATTCAATCCTGCAAGTTTTCTAATCCCCCTTCCCACTAAAACTATTGTAATAATTAAGCAATATAACAGTTCTGAATTTTGTTTAGTTTATTCGCTCGTTCAGGCATGTACATTGAAAATAATCACTTTTTTTTTTGTTCATTTTCATTAATGAGAAAGTAATTTCTTTACGAGTTTCAAGTTTGTTTTTCATTATAAGGTTCTTTTTCTATCTCATTAAACAACCAGTATTCACTTTATAAATCAAGAAAACTAAGAATTCAGCATGTCTATCCATGAATACAACATAATACCTCTGTAAATTTTCTTGCTCAATATACATTTTTTCTATAGTAGAAGTTTTTTTATTTCCATATATATAATTCCCTATATTCTATGATTCAATTTATTTTTTTCTCTTGTGATATATTAATTTAACGAAAATCTTTTCAGTCTTGCTTGGCCTCACGTCATGACTATCTCAGAATTAAATTATATATAATTTATTTATTCTCCTCTGGCCACTCGACTCATGTATGCAAGTTGGTATCGTGGTTTTGGATGTCGCTGAAATTTCATCAAAACATATGAAACATATATTATGCGAACTTTCTTTTTGTCTTCCCACCAAAAGCTTGAAATTTCGGATTTATTTTACCTGCAATTTTGGAATATCATTTAATTAATATAAATATAAAAAAAATATGATCGTGGACCCTTTTGCTTTATTTTAGTGATGCTTCATTTAGCAGCATAATCACTTGCGTAGTTTTCACGGACCACAAGCTAAGTAGCTAGTGGCCACATGGTCGCATCTGACTTAGGGGCACAATAACCTCTATCTCTCTTGGGTGCCGTTTGGTAAGCCGTTTTCTAGATATCAAAATTTTCATTTGAAGCTTTCTAATATTCGACATTTTCATTTGTTTTTTATTCTTCTCTGAGCTTGCCAGACCACGCGTAAAGATTTGCCAAACAAACGCCGCCTTAGTTTTATTGCGACTTCAGTTCTTTTGTTCTCTCTCAATACAGAACAGGAACAGCCATTAATGCACTCGGTATTTCCTCCTCACTTTTCCGACCCACTCTCTACCCGCCGTGAGGCCATTAATGGTGGTGAGACTGTCAGTTATTGACAGGTGTGAAGGGCAATCTCGAGCGGATCATTAGGCTTAGGAGTGCAATATCGGGACTGAAGTAATATAAAGTGGTGCAGCTTGCGAAGGAAGGATAGATCGGAGACATCAAACTCCAGCAAATACTACACAGCAGCGATATGGAGGGTAAGCTAACACCAACAGTTGCAGAAGAAATATCGGATGAAGCTGAGCTCGCCAGCCCACATGCCCAGTACTTAAATAGTTCAGCTCTCTCTCTCTGCATTCTGGCTGCTCTGGAAATCGAGGTTCCCATCGATGATTCGCAAACCGTTGCTTTGATTAAAGAGATGTTTCTCCCCATCAACCCACGCTTCTCCTCCATCTTGGTTAGTAGTTAGTTCTCTCTCTCTCTTCCTCACCCATTTTACGCGCTTCCTCTTTCTCAGTCTAGATTTCAATTTTCAATGAGTGTTGGTAAATGTTTGGGTGATCAGGTTAAAGACGACCAAGGAATAGGGCAATGGCGGAGGGTTTCTGTCAAGCCTGAAGACCACGTTCATGTCCCTGTCTTCCCCGGCGGGTTATCCACAGCTGCCTACGATGGTTACTTCCAGGACTACATGTCGAAGATATCGACGGAAACTCTTCGACCGGACCGGCCACCGTGGGAGATCCATTTGTTTAAGTACCCAACCAGCAGCGCAGCTGGGACTGTGGTGTTCAAGCTTCACCATGCATTGGGTGATGGCTTCTCACTCATGGGTGCACTGTTTTCTTGCTTGCAGAGAGCCGATAACCCTTCTCTTCCCTTAACTTTTCCGGCATCTCTGTCCAAACCGATACAAGATGACCATGGGAGCTGCGGCATTTTAACCAGAACACTTCGCTATATCTCCATGGTCTTCAACTCTACTTCGGAGTTTGCTTGGAGCCTTCTGAGGAGCAACTTCTGGGAAGATGACAAGACTCCGATCAGGTCTGGAGATGCTGGGATTGAATTCCGGCCAAAAATCGTCTCTACCCTCACTTTATCAATTGATCAGATCAGACAAATCAAGGACAAGATTGGAGCGGTAAGTCTGTTACAGTATTCAAGAGCTTCAGTTCTAAACTTCCCCATTCTTTGTCTCTGGGAACTGGGTCAACCATGCGTAACCAATCCATTCCCTGCCAATTTTCACAGTTGGTACAAGCCTACAAGGTCTCCAGATCATCCTAGACATACCAATGGGGTGCAGACACGTCAGCAACCTAATTTATAATAATGCAATGGTGAAATAAATGGCTAACGTGTCTGTCTTTCATTGGAAGAAGTCTCAGGTTAGTCATGATCAGAGAGTTGGTGCATTGCATCTCATTAGAGTAATTAATGTGCCATCTCACACCATCCAATGGTTAAAAGCTTCACCTCCTGTGGTCTGTTACTGGTCCTTATTACTGGGGATCCATTAATAGTTGCAGTTAATATCAGAATCAGAGGAGCAGATCAACAAGTACGATTTTTTCTTTATGGGGAAGTGAAACCAAGTACATTAGGATTTGGGACGATAGTGGACCGGGTCAAACTGACTGAAGCCGATCCCATTCTATCTTGGGACGGTCCAATTGAAGTTGTACGATTTTTAGAATAGTTTCTTCTTATATATAGCAGCAACCTTCTAGAGTTCAAGTTCAACCAGCAGAGAGAAATTATTTGAGGGACATTTTTCCTGGTTTCAGTTGATACAATTTCTTCGTAAATTACAGTTTGAATATAGTGACATGTCATACTTGGTCCACCTGGCAATTTGGCATGGCCCGAAGGATAAAGTTAGAAGATGATTTGTACAGGCCATGTTCCACTACAGCTGGGAGCTATGACCCTTATGTTATATCCTTGTCGACCCGGTACAAACAGCACGAGAGAGGCCCAGCTGCTGACGAACAAGGCTGAGAATGGGTTATGGCAATTGGCAAATCAAAGTCCCAATACGACAAATTAGGAGACAATAGATTGTTTGCCGGTGCTGGACAAGGAGACCTAAAAAAAAAGGAGAAGATAGAAGTGAGAAATGGGTTGGTAGGTGGGGTACACAGACCACGTCGTTTTCCTTTGTACTCGGATTGTCAAAAGGATGCAAATTAAAGCATAAAGTATGAGAGAGGGAGAGAGAAGGGCTGATTATCTCCCAATGTTAGCCTGAAATCAAAGCTAGTCTTTTGATAAGGGTGTGGACCGGGCTCACTCATGTTTTTTCGTTATTTTTTTTTTAATTTTTTTAATCTGATTCATAAGGGTCAGTTTAAGGTCCGTCTACCCTAACCACTTTCTGATCCGAAATACTCTCTATACTAGGGTGTATTGGGAAGGCCCTGATTAGAATTTTGAACGAGATGGATTTTGGGCATATGTCACTTAATTTATACAAAATAAGATATTATATGGTATTTTATTATATATATCTACATTGTTATAAAATAGATATTTGTCTTGATTTTTGTATAGGTGATACTTCAATTTAATTGAGCATCAAGATGTGAGGTGGGATAGGGTTCTGGCCTGGTTTATGGGAATAAAAGGTTTGACCCATATGAGTAAGGCAAAAATAGGTTAGTTCTGGCCTTTGTTTCCTAACCATCTATGGTCAAAGGGTGAGATGGGGCCTAAATTCAGGTTCTACCATTTTGATCCTTTTGAATTTTTAGGTTTCATTTAATTGGCCGAAAAGGCTTAGATATTTTGTAGTTAGGCTTAGGTGGGCCTTAAATTAAGGTTCTTCATTTTTTGGGAATTGGGGCATCAAATTATGACTTTTTCCACAATTATGCTGTACTCTGGATTGCCTTTATTAGCTTGATGGGATGTTAAATGTTAAAATTAGAGTACTAAAATATATAAATAAAAATAATGAGCAAATTTCATTATTTAGATACTCAGCCTATAACTGAAAATTCATCCTTGTAATTTGTAAATATAAAAAAGAAAATCTTCATTATACTTTTATCTGTTTATATTATATTAGTACCCAATAGATTAGAAATTGTTTCAAAATCTCCCTTATAAAAGCCAAACCTACTTGTTAATAAATAGTTAATTTCTTTGACATGTTGGTTTCCACTTTTACCCTTTTCTTATACCTTATTTTTTCTCAGACGATTAATGATGTGCTGTGTGGGATAATATTCTACGGTACCCGGCTATACATGCATACCTCAAGCAAAAAATCAAGCAATTTATGCTCTACGGCATTGGTTCTGCTCAACACTAGAATTATCGGTAATATTCAGCCAATCAAGGAGATGATGAAACAAGGCACCAAGGCACCCTGGGGGAATCATTTTGCTTTCTTACATGTGCCAATCCCAACGTTAGCTGATTCTGATACTGCAAATCCTCTCGATTTTGTGCTCAAAGCAAAGCAAATAATCAGGAAGAAGAGAAGCTCATTGGCTGTATATCTCAACGGAAAACTAATTGATACCATGAGGCAATTGAGAGGCCCTGAGGCAAGTACCCCTACTATGGCTATGGCTTTGTTTGGTTGGTTGGTTTTACAAAAACTTGTGAAAACGATTGTTTTGGGAAATATTGATATTGTTAATATTTGATTGTCAGTAAAACATGAGAAGATGAAGTAAAATTTCTCTCAAATTTAGAGTGGAAACAACACAAAATCAAAATGGTTTACACAACCAAGCCATTTTCACTTGGGGTTTCTAATAAGATCATCGTCACCTGTTGTTTCTATCTGGATTTATCGATAGAGAAATTGTCTTGTCACATAATATTGCATGGGATTGATGTTGGCATGGTGAAAATGTTAATTTTGACTTTTCATGAAGAAGCAGCAATAGAACCAACTGTTGTATTGATCAAATCAAAACATTTGTGGTAAGAAAATATCTTCTCTCACAAATTTGTACTAATGACCAAACCACATGTAGAAGTGAGAATGGTACCAAACAACACCTAGTAACTCAGCCCACCAAACCAAACTTCAAGTTTGTTTCCAGGTTAATTGCAATAAAAAATAAAATAAATAAAAAAAAAGTGTTTTAGAAAAATACTTTTTTACAAGTAATTCTATATGTATTTGCATCCCAAAATATTAGCTTTGTAATCCAAACACAACCAATATCTCTATATTTGTTCTTATCAGTATGCTGTATGTCATAGATAATTCGGTTTCCATTCATGATGCCCAGGGGATTCCATCAATGTTCATGAAATAACTTCTTATTTAAAGCGATATATTTAAATGGTTTCATTTTAGTTTTACAGAAAACAGCTCAGTACATCCATAGCACAATAAGGAAAACGAGCATGGGGATCTCAAATATGGTTGGACCAAAGGAGAAAATGTGTTTGGCAGGTTATCCAATTGGGGGCTTGTACTTTTTGGTGACAGGGGCACCACAGGTAAGGCACCTACCTTTACTTTTATGTTAATGTGATGTGGGTACAAAATGTTAGAAAAATGTTTACTTCCCGTTTTTTGCATGGCTTCTCTTGATGATCTGCATCTGTTCTGAGTTCTACCCAGTCACAATTCACAAATCATCACTTACCCCAAATTGATTTAGGATTTTATTTTTTGCTCTCCTGAAGCTGCATCTCTATTTAATTAGAGTAGAACTTGGGCGGGCTCAGGTTGGACTTTTATCAAATTTGAATGGGCCGGATTGGGCTAACCCGAATTGCACCCCTAAGTCTATATCATCTTAGTCTTAACCATTAGGCTAATAAAGAGAGAGAGAGAGAGAGAGTATTAGAGAAAGTGAACAGAGTCTATTCTGCCAACGTACAGTAGTCTTGAGTGATGACCAGAGTATCTCATCCTTTTGATAAATCTTTATGATCAACACATAATATAATCCAGTTACAGAAATATTTTGTACTATTATATCTATGGCCTTATGTATAAGAAAAAGTTGATGGGTTATTTTGCAGTGTGTTTCAGTGACAGCAGTGAGTTACATGGGAAATTTGAGGATAGCAGTGGCAGTGGAGAAAGGTTTCATAGATAATCAACTATTCAAATCATGCATGGAGAAGGCCTTTGAGAGGATCTCTGAAGCTGCTCTTTGCACTTGAATTGAAATGGATACAAATTCAATCTCTATAATCCCAACCTTGAAATTATATTATTTAATTTCTTAGTCATATTTATATTCTTGTACATTAAGTTGTTGTCAACAGTTATATTTATTTATTAAGGCCTTGTTTGTTTGTAATGCGAATCTGAACCATATAATAGATTTTGCACCGGTTCAGTTTTGTATCTATTTGTTTGTGATCGGTTATAGTTTGGACCCTTATCTGATACAAAATGTGCACTTTTGCCTCGTTTGCATTTATTTATAATGCATATTTTGTACCATTTTCCTCCTAAATGAATAACTATCCTCGTGCGCAACTGGAGAAGGACAGATCTGACGCAAAAATAAATCAGAATTTAAACTGTACAATTGCAATTTGTACAGCAAACAAGCAGAGCGTAAAATGTGTTTTGCAACAGCATTCATGGAGGATGATAAAAGTAATAGGGGAGTTTGGATCTGGTACCAACAACCAGTCCCAACGGAGCTGTACATACGGGTGAGCAAATGGTTTATTCGGTTAAAAACTGAATCGAATAAATTAAAATTTTAAATGAAAAATTGAACCAAAACCAAAATAATCAAAACCAAAATTTTCAGTATGATTTTCGGCTATTTCAAATAAAACCGAGTTTTAATATTATATATATTTTAATATATATATATATATATAATATTATATATTAGAAAAATATATATTATACAATGTATATAATAAATTATATAATATATAATATAATATATTTTATACATATTATATATGTATTATATGTTAATATATATATTATAGATAATAAAGTTTGACTAATTCAGTTATTATATGTTAATATATATATTATAGATAATAAAATTCGACTAATTCAGTTTTTTCAATTAATTGAATTTGTAAAATTAAAAATCAAAACCAAAATAGAAATTTTACAAAACCAAAATTTTCAATTCGGTTTTTTTGGTCCTGTACATCAAGAACAACTTACCATGAAGGAAAGGAGATGTTCCTAATGCGCGGCTGCCATGGTTGGGACCAGCGTTGGGACTGTATCTGGTAGGGGAGTTTTAATTTTAAGTTAGATCTTTCCACCGCCCAACAAACAAAAAGATGTACCGAGCTGCTAAACGAGTAGAAGGAATGAATGATGTTTTAATTGTGAAAACTTTATCTGAAGCTTTTCGATTTTTTGCTATTTTGGACTTTTATGAATTTTATCGGGAGTTCGGAACACCATAACATCACACAGATTCGGATCTCCTGCCCCCAGCTTCCTACCCACGTCCCTGCCTATCCTATAAATTTTGAGCACATATCCATATATATATATATATATATTCTTTACATGTGCAAAATTACATGTGAACTTTCTACCCACGTCCCTGCCTACCATATAAATTTTGAGAACATGTCCATACATATATATATATATATGATTTTTTACATGTGCAAAATTGCATGTGAAATCAATTACATCCTATCAGATCTCAGAATTTACCCATTATTTTAATTAATTTTTAACCTAAAAATAATTACTTTCCTTTCCCAAGAATAATAATAGTTTTTCGTTCTCTCCATTCATTCTCCACAGCATACTGTTCCAAGAAACTTTACAGACAACCGACAACTAGCAACCGGGCAACCGACAATGTATTCACCGGCATCTTATTCTCTCCATACTCAAGTTAACCTTTTTCTATTCATTACAACGTCGTGTTCCAAGAAATTCTACCAACATCTGGGACAATCTGGGACGTACTCACTGATACACCGGTGGTTAAGTAAGAAGAGAGGATTTAATTAATTAGTTAATTAATACAATTGATCAGATACATTTATCTGCAAGGAGCTGGCATTTGGGTTCCCCCAAAGTCTAGCTGAGCATTAGAACACAAGGCCAAGGGAGCCAAATCACCAGGTTTGGTGCTGTTGTATTTCAAATCGATGCCGAACAGTTGAACGTCCTCACAGGGCACCTGTTTGCTGCACGCAATATTGACTGCACCCTTTGATGCTGAGGTGCCTCTGATATTCTTGAAATGAACATCGCTGATCTTTACACGAGATGGCTGCCGGCCGGAAAATAAAATAGAATCAATTAGTGGTTCCGACTTCTGAGTGATGAGTATATATAGTAAATATTTTTTGAATTGGTTGAGGTTACTTAACCATTGGTGTATCAGTGAGCACATTCTCGGTTGTCAGTTGCCAGATGTTGATGGAATCTCTTGGAATAAGACGTTGTGGAGAATAGAAGAAGAAGGTTTACTGATGGAGTACGGAGAGAATAAGATGCCGGTGAATACATCGCCGGTTGCTGATTGCCTGTGAAGTTTCTTGGAATAGTACGCTGTAGAGAATGAATGGAGAGAATGAAACATTATTAAGATTCTTGGGAAGGGGAAAGTAATTATTTTTAGATTAAAAAATTAATTAGGGTAATGGGTGAATTCTGAGTTCTGACAGGTCCTTTCCATTACATCTTTTTGACTTTACATGCGATTCTGCACATGTGAAGAAGAGGCATATGTTAATGAACATGTGTCTAAAATTTATGGCGTGTGAATAGAAAGCTGTGGGCAGGAGATGATATATATAATATATAATATAGTATAGTATATATTTTTGAAATTCGGTTTTAACCGAAACAACCGAAAACTGAACCAAAAACTTCAGTTTTGGTTATTTCGGTTTTCTTCTAATTTGGTTTTGGTTCAATTTTTATTTTTCTAATTCAGTTTTCTAAATCGAACCAAATAAACTGATTGCTCACCCCTAGGGTGAATGACAAGTCTCTTTTTCTTGGTAATAAGAAAATTTTGTTGACCTCGAGGTAAAAACTCCGGTAAAGAATGCTTTCTAATGTCGGTATAAGATCTGGAATGCTTATCTGACGGACAGGGCACATTCACCCACTAAGATCAAGATTGTGCGAAAGTGCGACGCACAATAGAAGATAAGTGAAGGATAGAAAGAAACAATTAGGGTCGATTTTGGTTTGAATTCGGTCCTAACCAAAATCAATTTGGATGAATTAGATGGAACAATTAGATATATTGAATTGGGACAGTCCAAATTAACTTAATGGTCTAAAGTATTTATTGGATCAGATTGGACCTGATCCATCCATAATGGATTTATATTAGATTGGGTTAGATTGAACCATTACCCAGTTTATTGATTGGAAATAAGAATACAATGCAGATATTAATCGACCAAGTTTAGATTGGATAAAATTTAAATTAAAACTTATTGGAACAAATTGGACGGTCTAAACATTAAATTGGAATATCCAAAATGCTCTTAAGTATTCATCCAATAGGATTAGATTAAATCTGATCCATTTGTAATTAATTCATATTGGACCAGATCAATTTAGACCAAACCTGCTCCAATGGACAAAGAAGCAAAGAGCAGGAGAAGGCTAATTACTTCTCAAGGCTTGTGAGTTGGGGATGTCGTAGTTGTGCCACGAGAGGGTTATTCTACAAACAACATCTGGAAATGTGAATAGAGATCATATTGTCTGAATGTGCTAAGATGCTAGTCCAAGGGCCCACAATAGGCCTAAAAGGAAGAAGAAGGGATAAATAGACAGTCCATTTCAGAAATCTGAAATTATAACCCTCTCCTAAGTTATTAGTAGCCTCTTATAAATCGCATCCTATCCTTGAATTTGACATTAATCAACGATTATGACTCATCCCACCTGCCGATGGGACTAAGATTTCGTGGACTGAACTATAAAACCCTAAGAAAGAAAGATGTGCATTGAAAGTGGGGCCAATAGCTCTCTCCACCAATCACCTCTCCCTAAGAACTTCCTCAGTTGCTCCTATAGAAATCGGCCTGATCTATCTCCTAAGTGTTTGGGTCGGTATGCATTGACCCACAAGAATGTTCCACATATCTGATCGCAAGGTTCAAAGTATCGCCGATACGTATCAGTTTGGAACCCCTCCGGTATGCTCCTATAGTGGATGTATTGGGGGTCTGATCGGTTCAAGGGGTAGAGGAGATCTAAACCGACCCCCCTGAACCAGTTTCGAAAAAAAAAAGGATATCGATTCGTCCGATACACTCCTACCGGTATATTAGATGTATCGATATTTTTAACCTTATCTGGTCGCGCATCCAAACCCCAACACCTAATTAATCAGAGTTTTTTTTGCTTTATAAGGTCATGTTAATTACTATGGCAGTTTCGGCTACACAACACTAAAAGTTGATTTATTCTCTTTATAAATCACAAATTTTTATTGATTTTCTTAATGTATTGTTCAAAACTGTCTTCCCCCACATGTCACTTTTCCCCGCTGTACCAACCCAAAGTACTCAATCTTAACCCAACCGGATTTGAGTTGGTCAAGTTGGATTAACACATACCGAATTTACAAATACATATATCCATCCATAAATGCATACTTATTATCACACTCATGCATAAACATCATATTATATATACTAATATTTTAACAAAAATACCCTTTTGAGATCATTTTCTCTTCACTTTTCAATTGAACATAAATAAGTAAATAAATGCATAAATCTCGTTCAGGTGGAATTAGGTTGCCTAATCAACCCCAAACCCACCCAGCTCAAATGTGGCTCAATCACAACGGTATAAATATTAACTCGTATAAAAAACTTTAAATGGGCCAAAAGCCGTATAATGGGTTGGACAGGTTTAATTGGGCCGCACCGATTACATTCTATTCTATTTGAATAGATGCTTAATGGGTTGAAGTTGGAAGGCCCAAGATTCAAAGAATCGATACTAAAAATCTTGTGGTTTTATATTTTTTTTAGTTTTTTTTGAAAAATTAGTTTTTATATATTTTCTATTAAAAAAAGAGAGGTATAGGTATTTTGAAATTTAAAAGATACTATACGATATGTCTCATATCAAAATTTTGATCCTTGGAAAGGGCAACCCACCCCATTGCCAAACTATAACTTTTATACCTCAGGAAGCTATTTCCAACATACTAATAACAAAACAAATAAATATTGCCATTGACAGTTTAGAAGTTCACAAATCTATACCATATATATTATATAAAGTGAATATTTGACTTGAATTTTATGAACATCATAAAATTTAAATCCGAATACTATCATATACGGTGAATACTTAATTTATTAAATCTCTCAAATGTTATGATTGAAAGGAAGAATTGAATCCATCTAAATCCAAGTTTCAAGCGGAAAGAGCAGCTTCAAAGATCTTCCGAAAGGCCTCCTCTATGCATGATTTAAATTGTTGGTTATCAATGAAGTCTTTTTCTGCCTCCACTCCTAACCTCAAAGTTCCCATGTAACTCACCGCCGTTATTGTAAGACTCTGCAAAACAATCCATCAAGCTTTTTTCTGTTTTATCGATTCTTTTTATAGTTAAATATTACATTGCATATAATGTAATAGAACTGTCAAATGGGTCAGGTCTGGTTTAGGACATGATGGATCAGTCCCAATAATCGATTCTATAAAAAAATCCACAATCAGGATCATCGAGTCTGACCCAATTAGACCCAAGTATATATGTTTGATATCTATAATTACCAATGATAATAACAAATTAAAACCTTCAAAAGTTTGAAGTTTTATAATATAACTTAATAAAAATAACAGTAAATAGCAAACTGTTATATGTTGATAAAACAAGTGGTTTTAATGAATTCGAAACAGAAAAAAAATGATCCAACCCAATTATTTATCTGTATCACAAATCACAGAACTAGAACCAATGAAATCGGTTTGATCAATTTTATTCTATCGGATAGACGAATCCATTGGCAACTCTAATAAGGCATATGTATTCTCAATAGAAAACCCTAACCTAACAATTTTCTCATAAGACTCAGTTTAGAAGAAGTACAAATACAAATATATACAGTACAAATATATATAAAATAATACAAAATACAAGGATTCGCACTCCTTCCAAACTGAGCAAAGCAATTGTTTGCCGATGGATTAATTACCTGAGGTACCCCGGACACTGTAAAGTACAAGCCGCTGACTGGATGACCTGCTAGAGTCACTTTTTCCTTTGGTCCAACCATATTTGTGATGGCCAGGCTCGTGTTCTTTAGTGTGCTATGGATTATTTGTGCTGCTCTCTGCAAGATTAGAAAGAAACTGTTTAGTTTATTGATACAATGTGATTCCCCCTTTCAGTGCAAATAAGGGGTGTCATGGATCAGTTTTGGGTTGGATCCTGTCTAAATCAAAATCAATTTGGACAGATTGGATGGACCAATAAGACATTGAATTAATTGGATCAGTCCAGTCTTAATAGTCCAAAGTATACTGGATTTGATTGGACCCGGTCTATCCATAATAAATTTATATGGAATTGGGTTAAATTGAACCAATACCCAGTCCATAGATAGTATAAAAGAATACATTGAATTGGAAAATATATAAATTAAAACCAGTTTGAACAGATTAGACAGTCCAGACATTGAATTGGATTTGTCCAAAATGGTTCAAAATATTTATAGAGAAGTACGGATAGGCCCAATGTAGATTTCTGATTTTCACTGCAGAACTATAAACATTCAAAATGTCAAAAACTCACACTGTATGCACCCATACCCACCCGTGAATTAATATCAATTCCAAGCTCACACTTACCCCAAGTATACTTTAAGCCTACAAATTCTGATCCTGTGTTGAACCGTCATTCTCCCAAATATTTATTGTATTAAACCAAATCCGGTCTAATTGGCACTCCTAGGTGAAAGATATGCAAAAGACAAATTAGCAGTACAATTAGAGAAATGCAGTATACTTGCCTCAGGGCCTCTGAATTTTCTGGTGGTCTCTAGAAGCTTGGCATTGAGATACACAGCCAATGAACTTCTCTTTCTCTTGACTATTTGCCTTGCTTTGAGCACGAAGTCAAGAGGGGTTGTAGTATCGGCATCAAGTATGGGAATAGAGACATGCAAGAAGGCAAAGTAATTCCCCCAGGGTGCCTTGGTATCTGGTTTCATCATCTCCTGGATTGACTGAATGTTATTGATTATCCTAGTGTTGAGCAGCACCAGAGCGGTCGAACTTATGTGGCTGGAACTTCTGTTTGAATTGTACATATATAGCCGAACACCGTAGAATATTACCCCACAGAGCACGTCATTAATTGTCTGTCAAAGAAGAAGAAGAATAAAATGAATTAATGATAATAAGACCAATTAGATCATCTCTTAAATGTTAAGACCAATTACATCATCTTTCTGGTAACATAGATTTTTCGTTCTTTAATAAGGTGTCATTTAGCCAGTTGGTAAAAATTTACTGCTGATTGTAGTGGAAAGACTTGAAAACTAATCCCACCTGCACCAGGGTTGGAGGGTTTGGAGTTTGGAGGATGCCTCTCAGGGTTATGGCCCCATGGAGCAAAAAAAAAATCTCTTTTATCCATCCCATCTAACCCATCCAATCCACCTATTTATATCTATATAAACCAACCAATTTGGCCATGTTGGTTTCACTGCTCTAGGCCTCATCTTTTTAATTCTTATTTATTCTGAGTAAGAATGAACAAAAATGAATAACATTAAAGCATTTGGTTACAAAATTCTTGCCATGGATTTCACTCTTTGGGGCTATATATGATCATGGGTACGGATATGATACGCCCCGTATCGATAGTATCGTATCGATACCTTAATCCTTGGGGCTATACAAATATCATGCATCTAAACAAATCAATGTATGTTATATATTACATATAACATATATTTATATATGGCATGAACTGAGTCAGATTTGGATTGTCTAAGGGTCAACCCTAACCCAACCCGAAGTAAAGTTGGGTGTATGAATTTCAACCCTAACCCTAACATGAGCATCAATCCTACCCAACCCAACCCAACCCAATTTTTTTCAGGTTGGGTTATAGGTGGGTTCGGGCCAACCCGACCCAATTTGCAGCTTTACATGCACACATATCAGAACTGCAGGTCATTAATGAATGAGAATATTTAGGTTTGGTTTTTTAAAACCTGTCTTTTGGTCAAAACCATTGACCTACGTGGTTGAACCGATGACTCATTTGACCTGGTCACCAGGTCACAGTTGCACAATCAATATACATACAAATTTCCAGAGTCCATAACTTTGCACCCAGATGTCTAACTGGAGTGATCATTTCTTTCTTTCTTTTTTTTTTTATTTTGAATAACTTTTCAAGATCTATATCCCAAGGGGCTGAAGTCACCTTGGCCATTATTTTCACCAAAAAAGAAACCCTTTTGGCCTCAAATCCCAATTTTTAACATTTTTTACAAATAAAAAATATAACTTAAACATAATAAATACATAAATATACATATATTATATGTAGAAATTAATTATATATTATTTTATTGATATTATACATGTTTTACCATAGTATGTATGTATAAACCTATATATACCTATATATGACATAATAATGTGGCATGGTCTGACCCGTTCAACCCGAACAGTCAAACCAATAATCTAGATCTAATCTAGAGTAAACAATGATTAAGCCTCTGGGTTGATTTTTACAACATTAATCTAAAATCTAGTAAGTGAAAATATTTTTAAAAAACCAAAACGAAGCACAAGATTAACTCGATCAATTCAACAACTCAGGTTGGGTTAGAGTTGGCTTCAACTCGACCTAACCAGGCCTGCACTAAAATAAAATTACCCAATTAGGAATGATAGGGTGAGCCAAATTTCACCCACCTGTTGTTTCTAAGTCTGTCTTTATTTGCAGTGCAAATATGAATCAGATAAAAAATTTTACGCCAGATTCTATCGCACTAATCGACAATATTGTCAATCTAAATTTTGCATCCAAAAAAGTACTGATAAAAAAATTGCAAGTCACATGTCTTACCCCTCCGATCTGCTACCCACAAGCAATTCCCACATAATTGATTGGTCAAGCTATTTCCCGTATCATATGTTTTTACAGCATCATTTAAAGCGGGGACCACTTTACTTAATTGTCAAAAAGAAATGATATAATTTAAAATATAAAGCGAAAGTAAATAATCAGAATTTACACTTAACTTATTTACACTCGCTTGCATTCATGCAAATAAACTGAACCTAGTTAATGCATGCATGCTGTTGGAATCGACGTATCCTACTAATTCTGTCAACCAATTTTACTTCTACTTTCTGAAATTTGCTATTAGATGCAATGATTTTTTTAATAAAAGGGAAAATTTTCGATTAGTATTTTTACTTTGGGTCTAGTGAAATTTTGGTAATAGAATTTTAAAATACAATAATTTAGTATCCCAATTTTCAGTTTAGTATTTGTTCTAATCCATTAACTAATTAGTAAGTGATATTTAAAAAGACACAAATACCCTTTGAATATCATCTAAATCTCTTTATCAACTATCCAAATATTGATAAAAAGTGAATAATTCCAAATTCTTGCCTCTTCTATTCAAAAAAAAATTGGGGTCTTTAGATTGTCCCCTGAGACGTGAACCCAACAGACAATGATTTAGGATTGTTCACTTTTTATTAATGTTTGGATGGTTGATAAAGAGAATTAGACAACATTCAAAGGGTATTTATGTCTTTTTAAAAACCACATAATGATTGGTTAATGAACTGATTAATAGCAGGTACTAGATTCAGTACGATCAAAATATCAGTAAGCCCGTACTAATGGGAAATTTTCCAAAATAAAAAAGGAAAATAACAGGTTTATCCAGACTTACCCCTCCAATCTTTTCCTTGATTTGTCCAATCCGATCGAGAGATAAGTTGACAGTAGAGACGGTTTTAGGCCGGAATTCAACCCCCGCAGTTCCGGACCGGATTGGGTTCTGTTCGTCTTCTAAAAAGCTGCTTTTTAAAAGGCTCCAAGCAAAATCCGAAGCGGAATTAAAGAGCAGGGAGACAAATCCATGAGCTTTCTTCAAAATGCTGAGGCCGCCGGCGCCGTGGTTATTTGGTATAGGTTTTGGCCGAGATGAGGGAAAAGTTAAGGGAAGTGAAGGATCATCGGCCCTTCGGGTGCAAGAAAACAATGCACCCATGAGTGAGAAGCCATCACCTAATGCATGGTGAAACTTCAACACCACAGTCCCAGCTGCATTGCTGGTGGGATATTTAAACAAGTGGATCTCCCACAGTGGTCTGCTCTGTGGAAGCATTTCCATGGATATCTTTGACATGTACTCCTGAAAGCACTCATCGTAGGTAGTCGCCGGTAATCCGTCTGGGAAAACAGCGACCCGGACGTGGTCTTCAAGCTTAACTTCAACCTTCTTCCAATGTCCTACTCCATGATCGTCTAATACCTGTTCCCACAAACAGTTACAAGCTAAACAAGTAAACAACCAGGAGAGAGAGAGAGAGAGAGAGAGAGAGAATACCATGATGGAGGAGAAGCGCGGGTTGATGGGGAGGAGCATCTTCTCAAGTAAAACAGTGGTCTGGGAGTCATCGATGGGAACCTCGGATTCCAAAACAGCAAGAACGCATATAGAGAGAACTGAACTATTTAGGTACTGGGCATGGGGGCTTACGGGCTCAGGTTCTTCAACAGTTGGTGTTTTGTTGAACTCCATTGATGCTATAGCTGTTGCGGTGGCTGCTGCTGGGTTTTGTGTTTTTGCTTTACTCGTCTTCTCGGTCGGTCTTCTTTCACTCGTTGTGTGCATATATAGAATAGAACAGAGATGATAATAGCTAGGTAGTCCAATTAGTTACCTCTCTCTCTCTCTCACTCATGTTATCCTGTACCTACCGGTCCACATGGAGATCATCAACCATTCACTGACATGTCGATTGACAGTCATCTCTGTAAATTAATGATTCAACCTATCTGTCTCACAACAAAACAAATGAAAGTCATAAGTTGGTATATGTCCTCAGTGGCCGTTTGGTAACCGCTGAAGTGACTGGACAGAAAGATTAATTAACCCTCAATTACCAACAGCCTTGGGACCACTAATTTTCTCCCTTTGTTGTGGTCGAGGAAAGGAAGAAGCCATGAAGGCGGTACTCCCCTTAGTATCTACCATGCATGCCTCTACTGATCTCTCCAAAACATGCCCACTTCATGTACTGTATGATTAGTCTTTCTCTCTCTCTCTCACAGGGGCACAATAATGTATAGGTGAGAACTGAGAAAGTTCTGACCTTTCTCCCCCAAGAAAATTGGGAAGAAAAGTTGGATGAAGAGAAACTGCAGAGCTGAAACAGTTGGATCCTTTCTGGCGATTCAACAAAGTGTTTGCGATTCACACGCATCTTGTCTCTTGACCAAATCACTATTAGGGTTGTCAATTGGACCCGATTTGTTACAGTCCTATCCAATAAATACTGCGGACCGTTAAGTCTGAAGTGAATCAATGCAGTATGTCTTATTGGTCTGTCGAATCTATTCAAATTGATTTTGATTCGGGTGGAGCCAACCCAAAACCAGTCCACTGATATCCCTAAGTGTAGTGAATAACAACTAACAATAACAGCAACAAATCAACCCTATGGGCTAGGGAATGCATGCATGGAGGTAATGTAAGGCATCTTGTTACTAATGAACCTCATCTCTACCTATACATCTCTACCCCAACAATTTATAACCTAAAGCAAAAGACTTAAATGGAATCTTTTTTTTTATATAAACTAAATGAAATCTTAGAATCTTTCTATTTTCATGCATTTAACTATTACCCTTACAAATTTAATTGATTACAATGATGTCATTGAATAAAACAAAAAGCATACATAATTTGTCTTTCCGCTTGTACTAAACATGTAATTGTTTACAATTGTGCCACTATTAACTATTCACAATGATGCCGCTAAATTTTTACCTTTTTTATATTTGTTCAAAATAGTCTTTATCTCTCATTTTATTTACAATCGGGTGCTGCTTCCTTCCCCCTACTTTAGGGGGTCAACCCGAGCCTGCACAGGCCTTTGTCGTGCCATGGATAGGGCTGGTCCACAAGCCAAGTTGGGCCACAAAATAAGCTAATCCATATTTTTTTAAAATTTTGAAAAAAATAACAAAGAAGTCAACAAAAATTAAAAAAAATATAGATAAAAAATAAAAAAAGATATTAAAATTTTATTTTATAAGAATTTTGATGTATACAATTGTTTATATATACAATAATAAAATAAAATTGAAAATAAAATTATAAATTATATAATTATTGTATATAATATAAGTCCCAAGCCTACGTGGGCCCATGCCATGCCGTAGGCCAAGTCTTAGGCCAGGTTGGGCCATGAACCGAGCTAAGCCATGTTTTTTAAAATTTTGAAAAAAATTAAAAATTTAACATAAATTAACAAAAATAGACAAAAAATTAATAAAGATCTTAAAATTTTATTTTATATGAATTTTGATGTGTACAATTGTTTATATATGCAATAATAAAATGAAATAATATAATAAAATTGAAACTAAAATTATATATATTAATATATTATATAATTATTGTATATAATATATGTCTCGAGCCTGCACAAGCTTGTCTCATGCCACGGGCCAAGTCTTACGCCAAGTCGGGCAATGAACCGGGCTAAGACATGCTTTTTTAAAATTTTGAAAAAAATAATGAAAATTTTAACATAAATTAAAAAATAGAAAAAAACTAAAGATCTTAAAGTCTCATTTTAGCTCGAACCTGCACATGCCGTCTTGTGCCATGGGCCAAGCTGGTCCATAGGCCAGGCTAGGCCATGAACCGGGCTAAGCTTGTTCCTGGGCTCGGTAGCCTAGTAGTTTAGCCCGATCCATTAACGGTGCTATATTAATTAATTAAATAATTTGAGATAGCCTTTACCGATCTTGCGTTGATAATACATAAATTTTTATTTATTTTTTTACTTATTTTGCTAAATTATTTAATTAGTTTATAATTTAATAATCTAGCAAATTATAATTGCTAGAAAAGTAAGACATAGAATCGTTTATATATTTTTATATATTTATTCTCTCACTTGATTGCCTATTTTATAAATTTATTTATTTAATAAATTAAAGTAACTATATTTAACTATTTAAAACTATTCCACTATATAAAACAAAAATACAATGACAAAAGTCATCTCTCCCCCTTTCACTTGATTGCCCGATGGCTGTGATTATTTATTTATTTATTATTTTATTTTATTAAATTAAATATATTATTATCTATAAATTTTTATTGCCCCTGCAACGGAGAAGCCCCTTAGCTAGTACTAAAAGCTAAAAGCAAAAGGTTGTATGACCAATTGTTGTACATTTGCCAAATGGAATATTATTTTATATAACCTAAATGAAATCTTATAATCTTCCCTTTTCATGCTTTTAATTATTACCATTACAAATTTAATTAATTACAATGATGCCATTGAATAAAACAAAAAAAATCAATAACTTGTCATTTTTCCTTTTTCATATTTGATACTAAACATATAATTATTTATAATGGTGCCATTGCTAACTATTTACAATGAGACCACTAAACTTCTACCTTTTTTCATATTTGATATAAATTGTCTTTATCTCTCATTTTATTTACAATTGAGTTATGTTGGGTCATGCCGTGCGGGCAATGCTTCCCTCCCCTAGGATACTTTATGGGGTTGGCTCGGCATAGCCCTTGGCCCGAGCCCCGTAGGCCTATGTTGTGCCGCAAGTCAGACTGGTCTACGGGTCAAGTCTTAGGCTAAGTCGGTCTACAAAGTAGGCTAATCCATGTTTTTTAAAAATTTTGAAAAAAATAATGAAAAAGTTAACATAAATTAAATAAAAAATCTTAATTTTTTTTATTTTATATGAATTTTGATGTATTCAATTGTTTATATATGCAATAATAAAATAAAATAAAATAATAAAAATGAAAAAATGAATATATTATATAATTATTTTATATAATATATGACTCGAGCCCGCATGGACTCATGCCATGACATGGGCCAAGTCTTAGGCCAGGCCGAGCCACGAACTGGGCTAAGCCATGTTTTTTAAAAAATTTGATAAAAAGAATGAAAAGTTTAACATAAATTAAAATAAATAGACAAAAAAAATTTAAAAATCTTAAAATTTTATTTTATATGAATTTTGATGTATACAATTGAAAATAAAATTATATATATAAATATTAATATATTATATAATTATTGTCGAGCCATGAGTTGGGCTAAGCCATGTTTTTATAAATTAAAAATAAAAAAAAAAGATCTTAAACTTTTATATTATATGAATTTTGATGTGTACAATTGTTTATATATGCAATAATAAAGTGAATAAATAAAATAAAATTATATATTAATATATTATATAATTATTGTATATAACATACGGCCCAAGCCCGCATGGGCTCGTGCCATGCCATAGGTCGAGTTGGTCGACAGGCCAATTAAAAAATTTAAGAAGATTTTAAAATTTTATTTTAGCCTGAGTCCGCATGGGCCCGTGTCGTGCCACGGGCCGGGCTGGTCCATGGGCCAAGTCTTAGGTCAGGCTGGGCCATGAAATGGGCTAAGTCTGTTCATGGGCTCAGTAGCCCTATAATTTCTGCCCGACCCACTAACAATGTTAATTTAATTAATTAAATAATTTAAGATAACCTTTACTAATCTTATATTGATAATACATAAATTTTATTTATTTATTTACTTATTTTACTAAATTATTTAATTAAATTAATAATTTAATAATCTAACAAATTACTATTACTAGCAAAAATAAGAGATAGAATTACCTTTAATAAGCCACTTACCATCATGTTTTGCCCCTACAATGCAGAGCCCTCCGCTAGTGACAGATGTAAAATCAAATGGCACCAATAGTCTTTTGACCATTTGATTGTCATTGAATGGACTATCAGCTAGATTGAATTATTCACTACTCATATTTCAGAGAGTAATAATGAATTAAGAAGGTATGGATTGAAGGGGATTCAAAGACAAGTTAACCATTACCAAAAAAAAAAGGTCCATGCTTTACAAGATAAAAGCAATTCCATTTTGTCTTTTATACTGGTTAGCAGTGATTCCCTTTGTCTTTATGCTCGTTTGATAAGAAATCAGAAAACATATCCCCAGTTAAAGTACAAAGTAATAAAAAATTAGAATGTGCCATGTGCCAACTTACTTGGTTGGCTATAGGATCTCTTCCCAACAAAAACTGTGCCAACACAGTTCCAACATGATCAATGTCCATACATACATACATGACTGCACATATCATCATAAGACTGGGCCCAATCATGCACGAGAGGTATGGATAAAGATCATGTTGAAACTTTGTTGGGATGGCTTTTGTTGGGAGATCTGGACGTGATAGGATTTGTTCCTCACAAATGGGCGCCTTACATGCACATCCATCGTGCATTGGGAACATCTCCCGTGAATAATAATAAATAAATATGGGAGATATTCCCAATGCATGATAGGATGTGCATGTGAGATGTCTGGTGTAAGGAGTAGATCCGGTCTCGATCTGGACTCAGATATACTAGGGTTGTAGCAGAAACTGATTGAATTCCACCTATACCAGAGTAGGTGGATAAGCGTGGATCTGTTCCTCACTGAGCATTCTTCGGACCGACCTCACAGCATGTCTCAATTATATACTAGGAACATTTTCGTACTTGTATATTATTATTTATGGGAAATGTTC